GGGGGGGGGGGGGCAGGGAAGGGAATCTATACTCCCCACTCACAGCAGAGTTTATCTATTGTTGGAAAGGGAAAATAGCATCTTACCTTCACACTAGAGAAGACTTCATCAGCACTCTTCACCATGCTTTTTAAAAAGCCACCAAACATCTCTTTTGTATTTTTCCTCCGGACACTTAGCTAAAAAAAACAGAGTATGCCAGAAGATTTTAGAAATGCAGCCCAAAGTAGCTTTTATAATGGTCCCTTTGTGGGGTTTAGCTTTATATTTTAAAAACAAACAAACAACCAGTACTGTAAGAAGGTAAAGTTAAAGATGCTTCTTTCTTATAAGCAATGGCCTGTTACCACAGATACTATTCATTGTGAAGTAGTCTTCCCTTCCCTGTAGGAAATGTTTGTTTCAGAAGTTATTGAGCGCATGTAGGTACCCTGTACGAATGCAACAAACCTAATTAGAGATGCTTGTTGAGTTCCCTCCCCAACTGCAGCTTTGGGGTTTTTTTTTTTTGTTTGTTTGTTTTTTTTATTGTCACCAAACATATAGGCAGGTTTCTCTGGGCTATGGTGTACCAGCTTCCTTGCCGGAGCCAGACTTCTTAGAAATTGCTTACTAAGCTTCTGTCACATCTTAAGGGACCACTTCTCAGAAGAGGATGTTGCCATTACATGAAGATAATGTCACATAATACCACAGGGTATACATATTGTGCTTCCCCCCCTCCCCAAAATACAAGCTTGGCATTTTTCTAGTCATGTGCCAGGAAAATAGCTATTTCTAACATTAAAAATTCAAGTAAGTTAAGAAGAGGCCTTACATCCTGGTCATACTCTAGGAAAACATGGAAATTGTGATCTCTGCTGATCACAGGATGAGAAGAAATTCGCTGAAGGAAAATTTCATGAGATGATACAGTCTTCTTGAAGACAGCAAGGTATTCCCTAGAAGACAGCCAGATCAGACTTAATAGGGACACACACACAATACTGTTTTTCAGTGCATAAAAGGTATTCTTTTACTAGATATTATTCTACTGAATGGATTCTACACATATTCACTGCAATTTTTCAAGTGCACAGATTCATGGAGACATTGCATCTAGAAGTGGGTTTAGAGTCTATAAGAGTGATATGCTTCAGCATTCTAACCTGCCACCCCAAGGTGGAGTAAGCCAGACAGAGTTATACCAGAGTCACACTAAGGAGGGCTGAAGAGGGCCTCAAGATCCAATCTAACCTCTGCTCAAGGTAGGATCACCCCTATTCAAACTTTGCCAGGTAAGTATGGGTCTAAGATACTCTTTAAGGCCTCGGGAAAAATACATGTCTGCCCCCTCACCCCCATTCAGCTATAAGGCATAATGCCCAATAAAAACACCTCTAATGTGCAAAAAGGTAAACCAGGGGATTTAGAGTGTAGGCACTCTACAGGACAGAACACCAAGTTGGTCCGCTAGACACGTCATACTGAAAGTTGAGTCAAAGATCCATGTACTCACGCTTCTAATTCTTGCTTCATTTTGGCAAATTCTTCTTTCGTCATAGACACTTCTCCTTCCCCAAGCTTCTGCATCTTTTCTCTAGGACCATCAAAGTCAGGCTTTGAGGGTGCTGGAGGTATCTAGCCAAAAGAACCTGCATTAGTAGCAGCTACTATCCACTATGTAATGAAGGTTTCAGAGGAGCTCTGGAGTCCACTGCCCTGATGTCCAGGTTTTGACTAGTGCTGTTTGTTAATGGAAGTAGGTGAGCTCATCCACAACAGTCTTTTGTGCCAGTCTAAAGATTGGCATATAGTGGCTCTTCATTAGTTATTCCAGCAAATACCCTTGAAATGGTTTTGGGAATTTCTGATTATACCTGCGAGTCAGAATGGTGCACAGATGGCCCTTTCAAAGAGACACTTACAGGGTCAGGAATGATACAAGAATGGAATGGGTATAGGTCTCCAATTTAATTTTGGCTCTCTAGCCCATCAGCTTCTAGAACACAAGGATAGAATACAGCTCAAAGGGCTTCAGGTGTTATAAGAGATTAGAGCTAGGACATACTACTAGTATTCTTGTTTTAACAGGTTCAGCATCAGCACTTCATCTCAGATTCTACTGTGGTACTTCATCTAGGACTGCATTAGACACCACTTACAATAAGTCCAGCGTAGTCTTCAGTTTCAGAGAGCGTGTCATGTAACCATACAAAGTCTTCATGCTGTCTTGTAACAGAAAACTCGGGGCTTTGAAAAGTTGGCAGTGTGGTCTGAAAGAGAAGAGATCTAGAAATCTTACTGCTAGCAAGTTTACACTCACCCTAGAAGTACATGTTATCTGCCAGAGCAAGCTAGTCATTTAGCTTAGTAAAACTTGTGCCAAAGTCATCTCCATGTAAAAGGGGACTCATCTTCATTATTAAAGAAGATCCAAATTACTTTAATACAAAGCATTAATGTTGAATAAAAAACCCCAAAAACCCTTTGAAGTCAGTTGTAGTTTCCTCTCTACTCATGCCCAAGCCAAGAGCAGCGTCTACCCATCTGCAAATTCAATGAGTCAGTTGCACATCTTACATTTAGAGGGTTTTGATCCAACTTTCAGCCTAGAATTTGAAGACTAGTGCTTAAAAATCTGCAGATACCATATTGATAGGGCTTTTACATGAGCAAGCCCAATTCAAATTTGTAAGCAAGTTTATTACATTATATGCAAGGATGTCAAAAGAATCTTCTTTCCCTAACTGCACCCAAAGGTCATGGTAAGGAAACTGGTGGGGGTGAAAATTACCTTAGTATGTACCGTGAACTTCACTTTATCTTTTTCACTCAGAGCATCTGGGATATCAATCTGGAGGGAAGGATCAATATTCAGGTCCACAGACACAGCCCTCAGCTGAAAAAGAAGTTAGTAGATAACCTTGAAGTCAGGCATAGAGAAGGCACAGGGCAGCTCTATTTGCAGGTCAAACATGCCCCAATAAGGATGGCATCATGACTACACCGACAACTAAAGAAAGGTCATTTGTAGTCACAGTTGACTATGTTTTATATGAACCATACAGGAGCTACAAGTCTTCCCACTGCAGACTCTTCAAACAGACAGCTAGTTGAGAGTCAGTGCTACCTATGAAGGGTTTTGAAGTGTGTGCTCCTTTTCATAGGAGGGCTGAAGAGTTTGTTCTAGTTTCCCCTGCAATTATCAATAAATAACTGGAGAGACAGCCTAATCTTTTATAATTCTTTAATTCTGGTATGGAAGACATGGGCATGTAAGCTTGCCAAAATATTAGCCAGCAATTCAGCCATTTTCTAGTCTAGTCTGGAACTCCACAGTACCGAGACCCATCCTGGACCTCACAGAAGCCAAAACAAAAGCTAGCATACAAACCAAGGCACCATCTTCATTAAAGTTACCTTTAAGGGGAGAGGGAAAGTGTACAAATAGCAGTTTTATTTGCCAAAGCTGAAATTTTGCAGGTCTGGAAGAAAAAAAAGCTCCAGATGAAGTTTCAATGCATTTTGGCAGTGGTAAGGGAAGGGATCCTCCTCATCCCTTGGAACAGTTGCACAGCTTCCATACTTTGGATCTTTAGCATGAGCTGTGGTGTATGGCCCATCAACCACACCTTTGCAAAGCAAAAGGAAACACTGAAGCATCTTGACATTTGGCCAAACATAAGAGCAACAGCAAGCCGAGTAGGGAGATCTTTTTCCTGCCCATTCTCTTCCTGCCACAGAAGCATCTCTCGAGCTGTCCAACATCATTCTCATGCACCAATGATGACTTCTCCTTATGTTACTTCCCATCTCCCCGTGACTTATCATGGGGTATTCCCCATCAGTTCCAGAGGTTCTTGCCTTTTTAGGAGACGGGGCCCTGCGTCACAGCCCTTAATGCAGTTCCAGCAATGCAATCCCTACTTCCTACTTTTCCAAAAGGGCCTTCCCCAGAGACAGGCAGGCTCTTCTGTGCAGAAGACAAGAAGAAAGCAGTTCTTCTCAGGAAGAGATGGTGAATCAAGAGCATCTCAGGTACTGAGAATGGATGCAATTACATTCAATGCAAGATGTTCCAATAGAAAAATAAAACTAAAAGAATGATTTGTTGGATTCCAAGGTGCTTCATAAAAAACGTTCCAGCATCCAGAGTGCAAGATCACGTTAAAACTTCCAATTTAAGTGGGGGTTTTTAGCCCAAGCTAGGGCATCCATAGCAGACTTTCCTCAACAGTGGAATAACTTACTTGAGTTATACAGCAGTACAGGTTAAGATACCTCTTTCTACTTCAATAAGAACCTATAATGGTTTCTCTTTCCACCTGGCTTCCCCCATTTAAGAAGTTTGCTCAGGCAAGTAGTGCTTTACTGCTTGATGCTTCTTATTTAGCAAATAAATGGCATCCCTCGTGTAGCTTGTTTTCAGTGACTTGACGCACAAGGCATTTAGCAAAAAATATTTTTCACCAGGAGAAAAGACAGGAAGGGCACATCCAATTCCTGTGTAGGAAATTACTAGTGGCTGCATATTAGAAGTGGAAGCTCTTGCAAGCATGTAGACTAGAATTCTCAGCTGGTTTTAGTCATCACCTGTATTCTACTAGCATGCAGATGCCTCAGCGTGACCAAGTTCAAGTACCTATAGTGCTACAGGTCACCTTTTCTCAGTATCCCTTGTTTCAGGGAGCTTGCATTCTCATTTTTCTTCTCCAAGGGAAACCTGACAGACATGAAGCAATTTACCCAAGTTCACAACACAAAAGCTTGCGACAGAGCTAGTGAATCAGCCAACAGGCAGTCCAAGTCTTCCAGGAAACTAAGCTATACTTGGGCCATTAGAATAGTATTTTAATAAAGGCTCTTACATACCTAAGATTTTACTACACAGTGCATGAGAGAGAGAGGGGACAAGCAAATAGCAGACAGAAGTTAAATCAAAAGTTTTGCTCTTGGGCGATCTGGATGTTAGTTTTACAAAACCAAAGTGCTCTTTTCCAAGGCAAGAGCCCATCTAATAACTAGTGCTGTACATCATGCACAGCCACCACCCTTGGAGGGGGGTGGAAAAAAAGAGAGACGACAACCT